TAGAGAAGTTGCTCAAACCAAAATATTTTCTCAATTGCTGCCAAATTCTTAAAGCAATAATAACAGTTAGATTTGATGTATAGTTTAAAATAGATAAATGAATACTTGTATGAATAACTAAAGCTGTTAGTAATGTAGACGAATAAGAATTATTTTCACACCACACCACATTATTTTCACAGGATTTCAAATTTGGCATCTGGATGTAGTAAAGCACCTTTTTTATATTTGCTGCCCAGTAGTAAAATAGAAGGTTTGGAAGGCCCAACCTTCCATGGGGGCAATGTTTTGGAAGGAGGCTTTTTTGTATTTTAGGGGTCTTACTAGACCAGATACATGTGGCTATGGATTTATCAATAGACTGAAAAAAAGATTTGGGTAGAAAAATTGGGAGACATTGAAAGAGGTACAAGAATCTGGGAAGAACATTCATCTTGATACAATTAATCCTACCTATCAGAGACAAGTGGATGGTACTGCATGTTTTGAAATCCAATTTTAATTTACTGACCAGAGTTGTTGAGTTGTTATGGTAGAGATCAGTGAATGTTTGAGTGATATTAATTCCTAGGTTTTAAAGCCAGTTCTCGACATTCGGAATGGTATGTCAGATTCTAAGATTGCTTGAGCTAGAGCATTCACAGGGAAACATTCACTTTTAATGAAATTCAGTCTATAGCCTAAAACATGCTAAATGAGACTATATGAGAGGTATACCGTTTCAGATCTGATATATACAGCACAACAGGCGGCTCAACCAGGCATTGTAATTCCGATGTTTAGTGATCATAAATTCATCTCATCTTTTCCCTTTATCTCAAGGGATTACAATGAGCATTTTTGACATGATACATTCACAAGGGGACACTTTCGGTTTTTGAAATATAGCTCTGAAATCGGTATGAAAACCGGACATTGATATCACTAGCACTACTTTTCATTCATCAAGTTACCAAGCTAAAATGTCAAAAGTTAATAAAAAGTTAAAACACATACCTTGTTTTTGACTTTCCACTTTTGACATTGTGAAGCTCTAATATTACATTCATGGATACATCCCTGTATTTATGCATGCGCTGTGTTAACACGTGTTAGCGCACGGTCACTAAGTCGCTAAACTGAAGTGACTTAGCAGGAGTTCATTGCCTGTTGTAAGTCAGCTGTGAGCTAGATTTATCAGCAATTTCATAAGATGAGGAGTAATTCCTCTTGATTACTACGGATGCCAAAGGTGAAGAGTATTGGAGTTTAATCTATTTAATGAAATTGGGACCACAACCATATCTTCTCAAGCATTTGAAGAAGTATGCCCACTCTACCCTATCAAAGGCTTTTTCCACATCCAGAGAAATGCCAACTTCTACCCCTCCCTGGATGCTGGAGAAAATAATTTAACATTCAAAAGCCAGCGCACATTAATAAAAGAGTGACAATCTCTCATAAATCCAGTTTGATCAGATGAGATAATTGTGTCCATTGTAATTTCCAATCATTGCATGAGAGTTTTAGGAAGAATCTTGCTGGAGCATGATCAGACCCAACTATAGATGAATATTCTATATTTTTAACTCAGGAAGTTAATGTACTATCAAGAAAAAATTCTGGTATACGAGTGATGTATATGCGAGAAAAAAGAATATACTTTCGTTGAGGGAAATAAAATGCCATGGATCATTGCAAACTATTTGATCCATGAATGTTTATCATTTTTAACTGGGACATTATATTTTGGGTTAGAGTGATCTAAGGAAGGATCAATAGTACAATTAAGGTCTCCTCCAAAAATTAAGGTAAGGTAGACTATTCCTGAACAGTTAACCTGAACAAATTCCCAAGTAAAACCTCAATATGAAATTTAAATAGGTAGATCACAATACAATGAGATTTATTAATTGAATTTTAGACCATTATAAAGGCATTATATGGAGATAATGCCAACGTTGGAAGTACCTGTTCATGAAATAACATCAGTAAGGAGGGAGAGAGAAACTAAGGGCATAGTATAACCCATTTGAACCATTAGAAAGGATATGAAAATATTTTTATGCAAGTTTAGCAGGGGTGTGTAGAATTTTTATATCGCTGCACTCTATATGTGCAATAAGGCATATATTTGCATGCACTTCCTATTTATTTATTTATTTATGCAGAACCCTCCAGCCTTCTTTGAAAGAACTCTATTTCCCCATGCTATAAAGTGAAAGTTTTGTTTTACATTCAAGTTCTGAATTTAAGACTCAGCCTGCCATTTGTTATTGGAACAGTCAATTTCTCAGTACTTGGCTTAAGGAGAAATATTAGTAGTAATGATGTCTTATAGTAGGTAGTAAGCGACAGTGGTATGGAGGTTGTTCTAATTGTCTTATGCTCCTCTGTCATGAACCCCAGTTTAGAAGCATGCTGCTCTTGGCAGATGGTGAAATCCCTTATGCCAAATGTTTATGAAATAGAATGAGAATATGCAACAAAACTCTATATCTCATTCATTCAGTTGCCTCACTATTGGGATATTTAACCTGTTTAAAGACTCAAAATATTTGCTGCAGAAAGGAACCCTGTTGCCTGGTTACTCATGATATGGGTGATTGGTCTCTCTGGTAACACACTCACTGTCACTATATCAAGCAAAAGGTGAAAGGGAAAGTGTGACTGAGGAAAATGTCCTTGAGACAGATGAGGTGTTTTACCTCACTCATCTTCTGAAATGAAGCCCAGTAAATGCTAATAGTTATACTGTATTTACAACAAGGTTACATGAATGGACCTGGAGGGCTGGAGATGATAGCACTTTGAGTATTTCTCTGCCCTAACACAGTTCAGTCAATGACTCCATCCATAAGCAAGAAATTCACTGAACTGGACTTACAGGATGGACTTGTGCAACCCTGGTCTGTAGTTATGGCATAAGGAGTATAAGATATTCAGAATTATTGCATAAACTTTTATATAAACAGAAATACTGGAGTATTGTTGCTATGATTAAGCTTTTTTGGAAAATAAACTGCAAGATATTATGGAGATGGGATTAGCACTGTTCTGAAGTTATTAGTGCACCAAACAAACAAGCTCTTATGTAACTAAATCAGCTATTCTCCCCTATTCTTACTAATTAGAGCTTTGTACTTGTAGAAACTCTGTGGATAGACGCTAAAGAGCTTTTCACTTGTGTCTAATAATAGCTTGTCTCAGTTGTGCATGTGCTTTTTTCTTCATTAGTTTTTCAAAAGCACATCATTTAGTTATCCATGGTGCCAAAGTTTTACTGGCCAATCAATTTTATAACAACACTGGATTGTTGTAAAAATAACCATACAACAATAACCATGGTTATACCACGTGTTGAGAATAGTTCAAAGAATTTCACACAACTTTCCACTTACCCAATTTAGCAAATAAGCCTAAACATGTTTGGTTTCCAAATTTTGCTTCTTCAATTTTTCCCCAGAGCTACAAAGCTAAATGTTGCTAACTATTAATGGAGGCTTAGTTATTAAAGGAAGTTTATAGCTACATACATGTTCTCACAAAATACAGCTGTATTTCATCATTAATTTATCAATTCATTTATTTATTCTTCTTTAATAACTGATTTCATCTTGTTCTGGGTCACTGTGCTGTGGCAACACTAAGGTGACTCTTAGACTTAGGTGACTTTTCCCCAATAACATTCTTATGAAAATTAAAAAATTTTGAAATGAAAGCTCCAGTGTTAACGTTGGACCAAATGCAGGCCTACCATAAAGAAGGGAAGGATGGCATGGTTCCAGGGGTCCAGAGTAGTAGTGTCCCTGTGGGGACAAAACTAAATTTTTCTGAGGGTGAGGGTGGAAGTGAAGGACAATGCATTGACATGTTATGGGGCTCAATATTCCTACTATTCCTTCTCCATAAAGAATAGATGGCAGTTGAACGGCTTGTACTGAAGAGCTCCGTAACTTTCAATGTGGCACTGTCTGCTGCCCTGCTCAACTGTAAGTGTTGTTATTGTGATGTGGAAATGTCTAAGAATAACAGCTCAGACACAAAGTGGTAGACCAAACAAGCATTTGCACAACTCTAAGCTGTCTAATAACAATTTTTTCTCATAGCCTCAGGTCAGAGATTTTGTACAAAATACATTACCTCAGTTTCCAATTTTGCCCTTGTCTAATTCATATGACTCCTTTGTGGAGCAACCACTATCTTTTAAAGGCAAAATATCTAGCCTATAATGTACAAGTCTGAGGCCTTTCATGACTGTAAATGCTGACTAGGAAAAAGATGTAGGTGAAACATTTCAGAACAACTTGGCATTCTATATTTCATAGAGTTCATACTTCTTCAATTTGTGCAAAACGTGGCCTTATGCAGTGTAAAACTGTACACTGCATTCATTGGACATTTCTCACAGATGTTAATCCAGCATGTAACTTGTGTAATGCATCCTCTGGCACCCATGCACACATGTTAATTGTGCACAAAACTTGTGTTGGTCTCTGATCTTTAAAACTATTTCCGGGGTACATCTATAGATCCAAATCTATGGGTAGCCATTATTGGTGCAGTCCATCTGTTGAGTACATAAAGTAACTGTGTGTTGTTTTTTTTTTTTTTGTACTTTGCAAGGCAATTAATTTTACATAAGTGGAAGAGTGCCCATTTAGCAACTTTTGTTTAACAATAATTCCTGAACTCGGGATTCTATCTGTGCAGAGATTTGTATGTTCTCCCCATGTTCACCTGGGTTTCCTCCAGTTTCTCACACATAAAATCCATCAATGCATCATTTAACCATAGTTGTGGGGTGTTTCATGCATCCACTATATCCCTTTAATTTCCTTCTTTCCACTTATTGTATTTTAAGACTGTCTCCACTGACATGAACCATGTTTGTTAATTTAGGACGTTTTGAAAAAAAAAACCTGAAACAAATGTACATAATTTGAAGTTACTCTGTGCTTATTTACAGAAGTAGTGAATATACAGTGCGCATACAGCAGCTATATTTCGTAAACACGGGGGCAGTCGTGGCCTAATGGTTAGCGTCTCGGCCTTGTAACCCAAAAGTGAACCCGGAAGGTCGTGGGTTCGAGTCTCAGGTCCGGCAGGGATTGTAGGTGGGGGGAGTGAATGACCAGTGCTCTCTTCCACCCTCAATACCACGACTGAGGTGAGACCCTTGAGCAAGGCCCCCCAACTGCTCCCTGGGCGCTGCAGCAAAAAGGCTGCCCACTGCTCCGGGTGTGTGTTCACAGTGTGTGTGTGTGCACTTGGATGGGTTAAATGCAGAGCACGTATTCCAAGTATGGGTCACCATACTTGGCTACACGTCACTTCACTTCTTCTTCACTTCTAAACACAGTATGTGAAATATAATTTCAAAAGGTTCGAATAAATTACAGTTTAAGTTAGAATCGACCACTTAATTATTCTGTATCCTGCCTGCCTTTTGTGTTTCTTGTATTGTTTTACAGATGAAAACTGAACACAGCATCCGTGTATACAGTAACGTTTAGTATGGAAAATAACGTTAATTGTTTTACCATAACGCGCAAAGTATTCACACGAGTTCATGCTGTGGGACAACAGCATAGTGGCTTTATGAATAGAAAATTTAGGTGCTCAGATTTAGCCGCTGGATGTTTAAAGGGAGTGGCTCCCAATGCCTACGTACTGGACATATGAGGCACTACCTAGGCTTTAGTCTCCATTATGCTATATTGATGAAGTGTACTTCTACAGCGATTACCGAGTGATTTGGGATCCAGCAAATCATTTATCGGTATTCATCATCAACACCCTCCATCCTGAGACAGAAACCTGTTTTAGCTTCCACCTCAAAACGCGGAGCACATATTGCAGACGCAAATCCCCACAAATCGGCTTGCAGGCAGTCGGTGCGCAGTTAAATCGAACCGCGTGACGCCGATCGCGGTGGCGTGGGAAAAACAGGTTGAAAGCAGCAGTGAGAAAGGAGCGGAAGTTCACCGAGCCAAATACATGTCCGGGAGACGGGAATTTGCTATCTGCAGACGTGTTCAGCATCCGGCGCCCGTTCATTCTGCGTAAGTTATTTATGATGCTTCTAAGAAATGGGGCACCTAAAAATGATGGGGTGATTGAATTAATTATGAACAAAGTTTAGGATGCAGACGCTCGCTGATGTAAACCTGGATTGTGTGAGAATGGTAGGACGTGGCACTATCAGGACACGAAAGGGCAAACGGACCGCGCGCGCCCATAAATGCGGAACCGCCGGTAGTCCTTATTTTGATTAGCGGATTATGAACAGGTGCATCCATGTTTTTTGTTATTTTTTTACTTGAGTGTTAAGACGGGCTGTGGGGTGTTGTCCAAGTGTTTGTTTGCACCGCTGAAATGTAAGGCGGAAAAAAGGATCATGTAGCCTAATGTATCCCAGTTTACCCAGGCAGGTGCGGTTACATTGCAGCATTGGGGAAATAGCCCGCATGTTCGTCTCGTTTTCTTGAGATTCTGCTGGTCAAATTAACATTTTTTTAAACATTTTTTTTAGTTACGCTGAAAGACATGGATGTGTTAAACCGATTGTACACAGGCCAGTGAGAATCCTGCCTGCATTTCATATTAGTCCGGTTACTATAGTTACCAGCAGGGTCATGTCCACTGGAACTTCACTTGAGCTTTGATATTTGATAATAATTTGTTTAAAATAAATGAGTATCTGACAATTATATTAAAGGTATCTCTACATGTCATACACCACAGAAGACATGTCTGAGTGCATTTATGGAAAGCTAGGCGTGTCACTGAGTCAATCAATAGAAATGAGGGCAGCTCTGAGTGGGCGTGTATTAATATGTGGAATTCTTGAAGTAGGAAGAAGAGTCACTTTTTAAGACATATACTCATGTATTTTCACAAGCTCTGCCTTTCAGCTTTTTTCTTGGAATCTTTTGTGAAAGAGAAAAGAATCCAGATTATGTCTAGGGGGCAAGCTGGAGTAGGCCTACCCTTTTTAGGGTGTTAGATTTTTTGTGAAAGTGTACTGATGATGGCAACCCCAAGGTGCTGCGAGTAGCATGGCTGCTTCACAACTCCAGGGTCCACAGTTCAGTCCTGAGTTCAGGTTATGCCTACTGTCTTTCTGAGTTTCTCTCTATGTCCATGTGGATTTCCTCCAGGTTTTCTGTTTTAATCCCACCTCCCAAAAACATACTGATAGGTGGACTGGCTACATTGCCCATAGTTGCAAATGTGTGAATGTGTGTGCATGGTGCCTTATGATGGATTGGCGTCCCATTCAGAGTTTGTCTTCACCTCTTGCCCATTGTTCCCAGGATTGGCTCCAGATCCACCATGACCCTGACCAGAATAAGGCAATTACTGAAGATGAATGAATAAATTTACTGGTGGGTGAAAACTTCCCAAATTTCTTTCTGCATTGGTTTTGGGACATGGGTCTCAACAGCTGCAACTTCCAACATTCACTCCAGAAAAATCTAAGCAGTGGTGAATTCTCAAATGTTTTCACATTTCCTTGTCTGAAGATTCTGTGCTATGCATCAAGGTGTTAAATATTTTTAAAAATTAGCTCAAAGTAACAGCATTAAATAACTTGATCTTTGGATGAGCAGGTATTGCTGTCATAACATGTCAATATACAAGAAATAAACTATGTGGGATCCTCAGTTGTTTTCCCTTTCAGAAGAGCTGATATGTAGAGCTAGTCAGTGCAATTAGATTCTTTCATTCTCAGAGTGTCTTTCAGTGAAAGTATCTTTTTTGTCAAGATCTGCTCTCACTATGAATACATTAACCTTGAACTGCTGAAAACACACTAAGTCTAAATTAGGGTCTTTGTCATCTGGCCTGTTTGTTTAGGCTTAGGTGTTTTATTAACCTTTTTCGAGTAATGAGAATGTTGAGGGTAATGAAGGGAGTTTACTTGAAGACCCTACATGGACATTAATGACAACAATTTTTAGACCTAAACCTGTGTTTGAAATCCAAGGTATGAGGGGTGTGTGTGTGTGTGTGTGTGTGTGTGTGTGTGTGTGGATGTGCACGTGTTGGCTAACAGAATGGTGTAAACAGGTTCAGTGTAACGTGATTGGTGGAGCTAAAGAGCACAGCTGACTGAGTCATCACTTGAAGCTTACCGTTCAGTGTCATTTCTGTCTCTTTCTCTTCCTGACTTCCCACCCCCATTCACCATCAAATCTCTCATACATTCAGTGAGGAGTCCTCACCCTCCCCACACACATGCACACACACTCTCATTCTCAATCTCCATCCCCATCTTTTAGCCATTCCCTATTCCATTCCATAAGCTGAATAAAAACTCACCCCCACCCTTCTGCACTTCCACTTGCATATAAAAAGCCTTTTGACTAATAACTTCCCTAGGGCCTCTACATTATAATGGTGCATATTTCCCTCAAACAGTCCCTTCTGAAAATATTGGAATGGCAAGGCCAATTCTTTTGTTTTTGATATACACTGAAGACATTTAGGTTTGAGATCAAAAGATGAACATGAGATGATGGATCAAATTTCAGCTTTTATTTCCTGATATTTACATCTAGATGCGTTAAACAACCAAGAACATGGCATCTTTGGTGGCAGATCACCCAATTTTTAGGTGAGCAAAAGTATAGGAACAGATAGTCTTTAAGTAAATTAAAGAAAATAACACTTAATATTTGGTGGCATATCCCTTGCTTGCAATAACTGCATCAAGCCTGTGACCCACTGACATCACCAAACTGTTGCATTCTTCTATTTTGATGCTGTTCCAGGCTTGTACTGCAGCTTCTTTCACTGTTGTTTGTTTTGGGGGAGTTTATCCCTTCTGCCTCCTCTTTGGGAGATGAAATACATGTTCAATTGGGTTAAAGTCTGGTGAGTCTAAAACCTTCCACTTTTGTCCCCGATGAAGTCCTTTTTTGTGTTGGAAGTGTGTTTTGGGTCATTGTCTTGATGCCTGAAGTTCCTCCTAATGAGACTAGATGCATTTCTCTGTAAATTGTCAGTCAGAATGTTTCTGTAGACTTCTGAATTCATTCTGCTGCTACCATCATGAGTTACATCATCAAGAAAGATTAGTGAGCCCATACCAGAAGCAGCTATGCAAACCCAAGCCATGACACTACCTTACTGCTCATGAGTGGTTTGGATCTTATGGTATGGCCTCTATATTTCTGCTCTCGAAGTCTTCTTCGAATGGTGGATTGTGATACCTTCACTCTTGCCCTGTGGAGGCTGTTGGTGATGTCACTGACTGCTGTATTTGGGTTTTTCTTCACAGTTCTCACAATGTTTCTGTCATCACATGCTGAAATTCTGATCTACCATCTCATATTCATCTTTCGATGAATTCAAACCCAAATGTCTTCAGTGTCTAGCAAAAACAAAAGAATTGGCCTTGCCATTCCAATACTTTCTGAGGGGACTGTATATTGACCTTTATCAGCTTGCCTTTCCAGCCTGCACACTAACATACTATAGACTGATCAATTCAGCACTTGACTAAGCAATAAAATCTGCAATTGGAGAGAGAAAGTGAAGTATACAAGAAAGAGCAGGAAAGGATCTGTAGATTACCCAACCTCCATATTGAAATGAGACATACAGGCATCTGAATAGATATAACATCATCTGTGTATCAGAAGCAAATGAGTTTGATTGTATTTGGTTGGAAAGTCCAAATCATCATTATCCGACACAGGTACAGGGGAAAAATGGGCAATCCTAATCTTGTGCTAATATCAGCTTGGTTGCGTCTTCACCCATGAAATTCTACTAGATCTATTTCACTCTGCTCATCTGAGAATTCATTCCTTGGCATTATCGGCTCAGAGTTTTTCCCTGCTGCATGCTGTCTGACTGCCAGGCCTGTTTCTAAGCATTGCACATGTGATCAAGTGGGTTTCCTTTACTGTACTGTGCACTGTTCACTGCTGAGTCTGCTACATTAGCCAGATCTGCTAATACATAAATTAGCACAGGGCCTGGGTTTGGGTTTCCCTCTGTTTACCCCTCATTTGAGGATTTTTCTGCTCAGTTCTTCACATTACCCAACCCTCTACTGACTACAGGGTCTGTGGCTAAGCACTGCGAGCATGG